GGGAGAGAGAAACGTCAATGATGAGAGTCACTGATCGGCTGCCTCCTGCACGCCCCCTGCTGGGGATCGAGCCCGCAACCCGGGCATGTGCCCTGACTGGGAATCAAATGGTGATCTCCTGGATCCTAGGTTGATACGCACCCACTGAACCACACCAGCCGGTCTCAACATGTTTCTTGAGGCAAGAAAGGGCAAGGAGGGGCAATCTCGGGGGCCAGGATGCCACAGGCCCAAAGCCCTGCTGGGAGCATTCTTCCTGGCACACGGCTCCACCTGCCCTTGGTGGCTGTCTCAGTGCTGGTCTTTGGTGGGCGTGGATGCCCCCCCGCTGGGGAGGAATTCAGCTGCCATCACCCCCAAACACATGCCCACACATGAGCCCGAGCTCAGACCCACCTGAAGTTGTAGCCGGGAGACACATTGTGGTCCAGGTCGCGGGTGTCCAGGCGGCGGAAGGAGTACCGGGGCAGGCAGTGGGAGGCGGCTCTGTCCAGGTTGCAGTCCCATTTGATCTGGATGCCCATGATGCCGCCCTGCGGGTAGCGGGCAGGGACACGGCGAGCCTCCCTCAGGGCCCGTTCCGGAGCGGCGCGGGTCAGGGACTGGGACCGCGCAGCCGGGGCCCGCGCCTACCTCCACGGCCATGTCCTGGAAGCTGTGCCCCGCGTTCTCTACTATTTGGCCCAGACGGAAGATGGGGCAGAAGGGATCTGTTACAGCGTCGTAAATGCACGACTTGAGGTAGGTCGTGGTGATGTTGGAAAGGATGTTTCTCCTGAAGTCGGGAGGAGGCAGAAAGGAGAGGCGGTGAAACACTCCCAGGAGAGCCGGAGGCCTCTCCGAGACCGGCGAGCCCACAGCCGCCCGCCACTTACTTGCTGAAGTTAAACTTGGGGTACCAGATGCTGTTCTTCACCAGCAGAGTGAAGTTTTCTGCAGCCTTCAAAAAAGCAGGTCTGAAAAGCGTGATAACGTGGTGTTAATTATAGCACGTTACTGCTAACGTAAGTACAAACATATGTACACTCACAGACCTAGGTGACTTTTTAAAAATACATCTTTATTGATTTCAGAGGAAGGGGGAGAGAGAGAGAGAAACATCAGTGATGAGAGAGAGTCATGGACCGGCTGCCTCCTGCCCGCCTCCTGCTGGGGACCAAGCCTGCAACCTGGGCCTGTGCTGACCAGGAATCGAACCACGATCTCCTGGATCCTAGGTCGATGCTCAACCTCTGAGCCATACCGGCCGGGCCCTATGTAATATTTTTAAAAAGCAAACACACGTCTTACAATGTCATTTTGTCCCAAAAAGGGAGGAGGGCAGGTTTCTAGCATTTTCTGCTCTCCTCTAGGTCAAGGGAGGAGACTGTAGGCCAGGCCCTCAGGTTTCCTCCTCTCCTGGCCTCTTGCGCAAGGCGGCGGGAACTGAAGAACCCGAGGAGCAGCCAAGCAGGGGCCCTGCGCCGTGGCCTCAGCGGGGTTCTCTCAGCTCTTCCCCTCGGGGCTCGCTGCCCGGGGAGATGCTCATTGGACCTGGTCAGTTCACCTACAGGCTGGGTCCTGACCCCTCAAACACGCACAGAGAGTGCTGTTCTCTGGCCTGCAGCCTCTTTGAAGTGCCATGTCCAGCTCCTGGCTGACAATACGAGTAGAATCTGTCCCCAGGGGCCCCCACTTTGATGGGTTTCCACGGGAGAATCCGGCGCTGTGGGCTGAGCCCTCCGTGGGGGAGGCCTCCCCGATCCAGGGGGAATCTGAGAACATAGATAACAGTCTTCCCAACCCTGGGACAGGAGCAAGGCCAAGGCCGATGCTACGCAACGAGGAGAGCGGAGCCCGTCACCGCTGCCGACGACCTTGACCAACGCACCTCTCCCCGGGCTTCAAGCTCTCCCGTCCTTGTATCGGGGTTTCCCGAATTTTGCCATTCCCTGCACCATAGCCCTTCCCCACACCTGTGCGCCTCCTGCAGGACTGTCAGGGCCGTCCACCCACCACCTCATCTAGTTCCAGACCATCCTCCTCGCCGCCTAAGGAAACCTCGTGCCCAGCACGTAGTTACTGTCTATCTTCTCCCCACAGTTCTGGGGAATCAGCAATCTGTTTTCTGCCTCTGTGGATTTGCCTGTTCCGGATCTTTCCTAAGCATGGGTGTTTCACGTGTGGTCTTTTGTGACTGGCTTCTTTCACTTAGCGTGATGTTTTCAAGGTTCTTCCTCGTAGCATGTCTCAGAAGGTCATTCCTTTTTAGGGCTGAATAATATTCTGCTGTGTGGATGGACCACAATCTATCTCTTCAGCTGTTGGGTTGTTTTCAACTATAGGACCAGCTCGCTTTTTTATTGACATTCATTTGGAAATGAAACTTTCAATCATGGCCATAAAAAAAAAAAAAGCATCATTTGCCACAACTTAGAGCTCACTGTTCAAATAAATAAAGTCACACGTTGTTCCTAAAAGTTGCCGTTAACACAGCCGGGGGGGCTTGTTCTTTGTGAGGACTGTTTCCGGTCAGTTATTTGCAACTGACAGAATCCTAACACAGAGATAAGTCAGCCGCTGTCTTATCACGACAAACCCACGCCATGACCCACGTCGCCAGCGATGGCTGCTGCCCTGTGGTTGAGAACCGCCACCCCAGGGAAGCCTGGCTCCACGCAGACACCGAGAGCACAAAACCACAACGCAGATGTGTCACCCACCCCCTGCCGCCCTCCCGCAGGCCCGAGGACCAGAGTTCAGGGCGCCCCCTTCCCTTGGCCGGGACCCACCTTGGCACCTGTGCATCATCTTCCACTGGGCACCAGGCTGCCACCTCGCATGTCTTCGTGGTCCCGTTGAAGGGCACGCACCTTCCTGTTGTGACTCCTACAGGGGTGAGAGGGACCCACGTCCGCAGGGGGCCCCGTTTCCTACTTCCGCGAGGTAGAGAGTGGAGGCCCCACCGCGGGACCCTATGCCATCAGTCCTCGGCTATTCTAGTTCTGGGATTTAGACGGCGCCCCAAAGTTGGAACTGGAGGGACATGGTTGCCTGAGTCCCGGCCACGTCTCTGCTCTGCCAAGGGCAGGGCTGGAGTGAAGCCAAGCTACAGGTTTCTGGGGCGCCGATGACGGAGGTGGCCGCCGAGAGGGTCCCGGGACCTCAATCTGGACACGGGGCTCCCCTGGGGTCATGTGAAGGTATTGGGGGCTGGGGGGGATTTCTTTATCCTTATCCTGGGATTTCTCTATCAGAGGAGCCCCACAGGGGAGGCGATGTGGTCCGAGGCCGCCCCCCCAGATTGTCCACTGAGGGGTTGCAGTCACACGTTCATACCACTGCTGTGGGTGTCCGTAGAGCCAGCAGGACAGTCGCTATCTGACTGACACAGATTGGTCTCGTCTGGAATCTGAAATGAGAACAAGTGACAGCAGGTTCCACGTGGCCAGCCGCGCACAGCGGGTCAGGGTTGGGGGGCGCAGCGTGAGGCCCGAGGCTCCTTCCAAGCCGCCTACCTCGGGGCAGAAGCCTTGGGTCTGGTTCACGGTGGCAATCATGTTGGTCATGATGAAGAGGGAGTTCTCCTCCTGCAGGGGGCGGGAGAGGGAGAGAGCCCTGCCCGGTTACCCCCAAGCGGCCTCTGCCAACGGGAGGACCTCCGAGGGACAAAGGCAAACGCCAAACGAATGCTTAAAGGTCCCGAATTTGGCTGGTTTTCTTTCCTAACCGGAATTAAAACAAATAAATAAAACGTGCCAGAGATGGCTCAGTCGGGGTCAGCCATCGACACTTCTGCCTTTGAGAAGGTTCTGTCATCTCCTTGTCACTGTGAAGGTGCCCGATGATGAATGGATTAGAGTTTCTCAGAAATTCGAGAGCAGTTTGTTGGGGATGAGACGGGAGAATTGCTAATAATGACCTCCTAGTATACGGAGTAAAAGACACAGACCCCAAAGGTTCCGGTTGGGCCTCCCCTCACTGGGTCCTGCCCTTGTAAAATGAAATGCTGGCCGGGCCGGCGCGGCTGAGGCTGAGCGTCGACCTAGGATCCAGGAGATCGGGGTTCGCTTCCCGGTCGGGGCACATGCCCGGGTTGCAGGCTCCATCCCCAGGGGGGGGCATGCAGGGGGCAGCCGATCAATGACTCTCATCATTGATGCTTCTATCTCCCTCTCCCTTCCTTTCTCTGAAATTAATAAAGATGTATAAAAAAATAAAATGCCAGCATCTCACGCTCCTGGGAAGGGCAGGGTCAGAGTAACTAAAGTACCAAGGGGTCCATAGGCATCTCCACCCCCAGGTCTGACAAGGTGATGGCAGCTCTGGGAATAGCCGGCATCTTCCAGAGAAAGGCCTAGACCAGACCACGTTGGGACCTAAGGAAATGGCCACAGCAGGCGGCAGCAGGTGGTGGCAGGGAGCCCGGGCCTGTCCCAGGTGCGCCGAATGCAAACACACTCGGTGTTGACCGAGGGCCGCCCCTCCCTACACCTCTCCCGAGTTGGATGTGAGCAATTCAACGTGGTTTACTTTCCCGTCCCTATTTCTTATCGAAGTGTAGAGAAATTTCAGTCCGGAGACGAGCCAAGCAGGTGCGATGCCAGCCGAGGCCGCGGGATCCGCAGCAGCCCAGGGGAGCCTCGTGGCCTCACCCAGCCCCCAGCCCCCAGCCCCCGGATCGGAGACGGAGGCCAAGAGCCTGCACGGTCCTTTCCGCCGAGGGGCAGGGGCCGTGTCCTTCCCTGGTTCCAGTAAACAGACTGAGTGACATCCCCAGAGCCTGCCAGGAAGAGGCCGTGACTTGATGGGAAGCAGAGGTCTCACTGTTGAGACAGGTGGGTGCCAACAGGCCCAGCTACCCCCAGCCGCTGTGAATCCCGCCTCATTTGACCTCTGTGGCTCTCCAGCTGTCTCCTCTCCAGGCGCCCACAGGACCCTCCCAGAGAAGGCAGGGGGACATGAACACCCTCGAAGAAAGAGAGTTTCTGAAGCCCTTGCAGAGCCCGGAGCCAGGAGTTGACAGCTTATCTGCATTTAGCCTCCCGGCTCACCCTGGCCCGGATGCCATCTGGAGGGACCGGCGCGGTTTGCCCGTGTGGAGCCCAGCCATGAGCAGGGCTAACGAGAGTCAATATTTAACTTGAAGCTTTGTGGGTTCACGGAGCAGAGACCAGGATGCTGTGCCAAACACTTTCTTCCTTCACCTTTAATCCCCCTGGAATCCAAGGAAGGAAGGCCTGTTTCTTCCTCTTGCTTGGCTTTTGGTCTCTAGTTGCTGTTAAAGTTTTTTTGTTTGTTTGTTTGGTTGGTTTTTTAACCCTTACCCGAGGATATTTTTTCCACTGCTTTTCAGAGAGAGTGGAAGAGAGAGAGAGAGAGAGAGAGAAACATTGATGTGAGAGAGACACATCGATCGGTTGCCTCCTACACGGGGATCAAGCCTGCAACCGAGGTACATGCCCTTGGCTGGAATCAAACCCAGAACGCTTCAGTCTGAGGGCTGACACTCTAACCACTGAGAAAAACCACCTAGGACGCTGTTAAAGGGTTTTTTTTGGTGTTTTTTTAAAAAATATGTCTTTATTGATTTCAGAGAAAGGAAGGGAGAGGGAGAGAGAGAAACATCAGTGATGAGAGAGAGGCTGCCTCCTGCACATCCCCTACTGGGGACCGAGCCCGCAACCCGGGCCTGTGCCCTGACGGGAAATCCAACCGAGGTCTCCTGGATCACAGGTCGACGCTCAACCCCTGAGCCATGCCGGCCGGGCAAAGTGTTTAATGCTGTCTGAAAAGGTTCACCTTGTGGGTTTACAGCCATAAAGCAAATATAAAATGTGGAAAGGTGATACTCCTACCTAAAATTTTCCCAGGATTTAAGGCATTTGCCTTTTCCTCTTGAGACATTCTGAGATGCCCACATGGAGAGTCTCCTGTGTCTGAGCCACCGTCTTTTAGAGCCGAAGAAACAGAGCTGATTGGTTACTACCTCTTAGATCGTCGGCCGAAAGGAGATCTGTGTGCACTGATTTCTTGGGCACGGCAGATGTTAGAGCTCTGGCCATGCCAATCATGAATCAAGTGGGCAAGAGCAGCAAAGAGCAAGGCGCTGCCTGGAGGCTCCAGCGTTAGAGTCGGAATGAGCAGCGTACCTGAGCTGGAATCACGTAATCGGCCACATCCCAGATCCGGAATCCAAACTGAGAAGTGTTGGTGACGGTCACGCCCTTGGCTTTTGTCGTAACCGAGCTAACCACAGAGTCCACTTCCTGGTAACCCCTCTCCCACACGAACACCCACCTGGAAAATGAAACGGGCCTCGTGAATTGCCATTAGGGTTTGGTGAATCGGCGGCGATGCCAGGCAGCCTCTGCTAGTCAGAAGCTGGAGGTACCACGTTTACTAACTATGGGGCCCTGCAAAAGCTCTTAACTTTGTGAGGGGGTGGTGATGGGGCGGCTCCATTTCTACTTCTGCAAAATAGGCACAACAGCACCTAAATGACAGCGTGGTTTGTAGGAAATTGACGAGATGATGCAAGGAAAGCTCTCAGCGCAGCCATCAGCACGGAGGAAATGCTCAGTTAACACTGTCTCTCTTATTAGATATTTGAGCACTTTCAATGCACTGTGACCTGCAGAGTCAACAAGAGATCATAAAATTATGGTAATAATAGTTACCATTTGGGTGTTTTTTAGGTGCTAGGCACTGATCCAAGCGCCTTCTCTGTATTAACTAATTTAATCCTGACCGCTGTGTAAGGCAAGTATCATTATCTCCATTTCACGGAGAAGGAAACTGAGACACAGAGAGGTTAAGTCACTTGCCCAAAGTCACACAGCTAGTGAGTGGCATAATCAGGATCTGACCTGAAGCCTTCTGCCTCTGAAGCCTCTTCTCTGGCCCTCAGTGCTATACTCCTAGGAAAGATACACCTTTCAAATAGCTTTTTATGGCGATTTTTTTTTTTTTCTCCAAGAATTCAAGTCACATGTATGCGCCTTTCCTCTGAAGTGGGGACATTCCTATCAGTCTGAATAATTTAAAATGGAAGTACATCAGCACATAGTGGTTAGGACACCGGAAAACGGACCGAAGTCAGCTGATCTCCGGTTCAAGTCTCAGCTCTACCACTCACTAGCCACAACTGTGGCCAAGTTGCTTAACTTCTCTGTACCTGAGTTTTTCCCATCTATAAGATAAATCGCGAAAGAGACACGAGGTTTCATAACATCATTATGTGATTTAACTGTTTCCTCATCATGTGACTGATAACAGAATTGGGTAACTGACAAATGCGTGTTCAGTCTCTTTCTGAGGAAGCATTGCTACGGGTCAACTAGGGAAAGACCACAAAAAATTTACCAAGATGAAGATCAAGAAGCTGAGATTAGTCTTTTTTTCAAGCCCTTAAATTCAGATACTGAGTCAGTTTTGGTCATGGCAAGATAGATAAAAGCAAAACATTTATTGCTTTAAAAAGATCCTCATGATCAAAACAGAGACCACTTCATAGGAATNCTAGATCAAGAAGCTTTTTTCAAGCCCTTAAATTCAGATACTGAGTCAGTTTTGGTCATGGCAAGATAGATAAAAGCAAAACATTTATTGCTTTAAAAAGATCCTCATGATCAAAACAGAGACCACTTCATAGGAATCCTAGAGAGCTGTGCTGCCCAAAAGAAATATATCACGAGCCACATATGTAATTTAAAATTTTCTAGTAGCCATGTTAAAAAATAAAAAGAGATAAAATTAATTTTAATGAAAACCAAGATATTTTAACATGTTATCAATATAAAATGTAGTATTAGTGTGATATTTTACTGGGGTCTTTTCTGGACTATGTCTTTGAAATGAACTGCGTGTTTTATAGCGATAGCCCATCTCAGTTTGGAGTAGAAACATTTCAAGGGCTCCAGGGCCACATGTGACTGGTGCCTGCCATATGGCACAGTGCAGGCAGATGCAGTATTGCCCCCTTATCTTTCCACTGGGGATGCTGCCAGGGGGATGCCTGAAACTACGGGTAGTTTGCGAACCCTATTTATACTGAGGCTTTCCCTGTACATACACACCTGTGATAAGGTTTAACTGTGGAAAAGGGAACTGCGGATAAGGGGGACTATACTATCTGCAGCTGGGAACTTCACAGATCCCCTAAGGTAGATGTAAAGGGACCTTCCCAGGAGCGTCAAAAGCAAACAGGAAAAAGCTGCGTGAGAGCTTGATTCCAAATGCTGCAGACCCAACCCAGCGCCGTGAGGTCAGCTAACCAGCTAGTACCGGGCCTCTAAATGTAAGGGTGCATCGCAGTGAGTGG